TTTCGGAAACAATACGACGCAAATGGAATCGGCGGAGAAAGAGATGAAGGGCCTGCGTGAGGGTGAAAATGACGGCCAATTGCAGCTGCAGTCGGGGCAGCGCGTAGTGCAAGAAATTCGCGGCGTCGCCGGAGCCCCAGATGGCGGGGGAATGCAGCCCGACGGCGACGTAGCAGAAATCTTCGGTGATATTTCCGCGAAGCGCCGGTTTATCATCCATCACCGAGAAAAGAAAAAAAAAATGGCACCTTCAGCCGGGCTGGCGCCCGCCTACCGATGTTGGATCATCAATGGTGGCCCGATTGAACGAGTGGAAACGAAAATGTGTGGAATTTTTTTCCGCCATTTTGGGAGAGGAGAGGTTTATATGGGACTTTTATGGTGGAATTGGGATTTTCAACGGAGTGATGCTGGTCTTCCCGCCGAGAAATATTCGCAGCCATTTTAGCTCTTCAAGCTTCAACTTGGGCTTGTGTCCTTGCTCGTCTTTTGTCATCTAAAGATTGAGATTGTATACTGGTTAATTTACTATTAAACACAAACAAGGCGGTTTTATTGTTAGGTGGGTAGGTACGAAACACGAGTAGAAATCGGTTTAGTCTTTCTCAACTGAATCTCCTCAAGATAAGATAATTATTTACTAAGATAAAGATAATTTTTATCTTATTTACTAAGGTTGCACAGTAGTGATATGATGTACATTTTGTTTGTTTTGTATGATTGACACAAGATATTATTTTCTCAATATAATGTGATTTGCATTTTACATAATTATGATAATGGAAATTTTGGCATGAAAAATAACGTAATTTCAATATTGAAGTTGTGAGGTGTGAAAGTTACTGTATTCCAGACCTTGCCAGTAGTATGTATTAGCTCTCCTCGTGAAAATAGGTCTATGGATTAATATTTTCGCTTCACAGAGACCAATTTCACCGTATATATATCATATTAAAGGAAGGGTAAAAAAAAAAAAAAAAAAGATTCTTTTAAGAGTACTAAATGGTACTGTATTTCAATAACAATACAACATCAATGGTCTTTAAAAAGGGAATGGAAATTCAACACCAACAAGCCAAACAAGCTTGCAGACAAAGTCTCGAGTGGAAAACATAAAAAAGGACCAAATGTTTGCCCAGATGGTGAATTATCAGGAAGAGATAATAAAGAAGAAAAATGCCAGCTGAAGGGAAAATTGCTGTTTGAAGGCTTTGCCCGAAACCCACATTTGACTGTTTTGCATAAGCAAGACACTACACGAGCCAGGCCAGTACCACGAATTCACTGTCAAACAAAAGAAAAATGAAAAATACAAATATCTTAGCTCACTAAAAACCGACAAAATTTATAAGAGAGCCAGCCAATCAGACTGATAGTCAAAATCAGACGAGCCAGTTCCCTTTGAATAAAATCTTAGTGGATTGAGATTTCGCCAGTTCAAATCAGTACCCCTTTATGAAACTTTATCGCCCTCGCATTTCATGTTATGATGTGTAATAAACATAACACTCTTCCAAAACAAACCAAACAAGATATTGACGGTAAAAACACCTAGCCAGCATCAAACTAGAACTTCCACGCTGAACATTAACCACAATGATAAAAATGTTGTCGTTAGGTGTTTTCCTTGTAAATATAATATCCAAGTATTAGTATAGTATAATCAAATATGGCTTCTAATTTTTGAGAGTTGTCCTTTGGAACTCAACATCCAATTGCAATCTTCAAAGGAACTAATAGCCTATGTGGAAAAACATGGAAAACTCAAATGTTATTATCCAATTACACGATAAAGAAAGACCATTCGACTGATTGGCCAAATTTAATTTAACAAGGGTCGGCAGAGGCAACTGATGAGTAAAGGTAATCGGGTTGCAGAGGTAAATCCAAATTTACATGAAACATCATAAATTAATGTTTCAATAATCAATATGGGCCTTAATAGGGTGATGTAGAAAGAGATCCACTTAGTTGGCTATATAAGGCTCTGAGAAGTCTCATAGAAAATCACTTAACATTATCTTTCCCGATACATGCATTAAATAGTTAGTATTGATATAAATATTAATAGCTCCGTCTACGGGCATTTTATGCAAAGTTCATTGTTATTCATCTTTGAAGCTTCTTTTAAGAAATATGTAATACAAATGTACCTCGGATTATGCTTTCTTCACAAGGGTCTTTGTTAACACCCAAACTCCTAACTCACTAGCTATTGCCATATCCACTAGATGAGATAATATATTTACTAGATCATATGATAATGGCTTGCCAAAATTCTCAAAAAAAATCATACAAGACTGAACAGGCAATATCTATTATGCCTCCACAGGCAAAATAAATGATAATATTGAAGACAACGGAAATTATCATTCAATGTCTGAGATCTAGAACAAAGTTAATCAAGAAAACAACCTAATGATTAGTGCAGAAATGTGACAGCTTCTTTAGGCTCCATTTGGGCGGGAGGATTTGAGAGAAAAGATTACAAATTCACGGATATTAACAATTGAGTTTGTTTGAATACCATGGCCTTCGAATTCCCTTAGGTTTCAACCCTGAACTAGTTATAAGTTATTTGGGTGGATTTTAAATTTAAAATCCCTTTCAATGAATCTCCAAACGAAACCAGATCCATCATTCCAAAATGCAACCGGAGTTCAATTTTGTTGCATCAATAAGATCAATAGCTTATATTCATTCCAATTAATTTACATTGAAAATGACAATCATGAATATAAAATAGAGGGAGTTAGAACTTATAAAATAAGGGGTTCAAACACCTTCGTCAACAAATAATTTCAATCTTGATAACTAAGCAAACACACCAAGATAACGAGGTGGCATAAATGAGACTTAAGCTTACTTTCTCATTGCTTATGTTTCCAATATAAAGCACATCTCATCCTATTTGGCAGCTTCCTTTGCATCATCAGAATCTGAGTCACTAGCATTATAACCTTAACAAACACACACGAAAAAAAAAAAAAAAAAAAAGTCATAATTTAGGAAAATAAACAAGACAATGAACAAATGGAGCCACTGACATTTTAAGTACATAGCAAAAAAGATCAATCACCTGGATGCTTATCGCCTACTTTCCACACAGACGAGCGACTCTTTGCAGCCCTGCTAATCCATGCTTTTCCCTATAAGAGCCATAATTGAAACCTTCTCAACACTTATGCACACAAATTCCCAAACTTGTAACAATATGCATAAACTAAGATAAGATGCTCCAATGCTTTTCCGCATTCGCAAAACTTAGCAAATAGCTTAAGAATGGCATCTTTTTTTTGCCAAAAGAAGAGTAAACTAAAAGAAAGGTGAGTTAATACCTAATAGAACAAAATCTCACTTTATGTCATGAAATAAATAACAGAATTAATAAATTCAAGATGAACATTAAATTTTTACAAGGAAGAACTCCTGAAGATAACCCATTAACACTGAGGTCCCATTCACCATTCCAATTATGTCCATTCTTTTCACAAAATACCTCAACACGAACAAGTTGAGCAATGGCAAATACATCCACTGGTCAAACACACACACACACACACAATAGAAAAACAAATGAATTGAAAGAAATATACCCTTTGGACATCTCTAGTGACTCCATATCCGCTGTGGTACATCTGGCCCACAAGCACCTGCATGCCCGTGTCGCCATTCCTGGCCTCCTTGAGCGTGTCCTGGAACCACCGCTGGACACAGTCCGCCACCACTTCCGCCAGCGGCGTCCGCCGCAGACCCTCCGAACTCTCCGCCGCCTCCATCGGCCGCGTGGTCAGCCTCACCTGATGGGACTCGGGTCTCCACCCTGCGGATTCGGCCGAGGATGGGGATCGAGATTTGGATACGGGTCTGATATGGGTGGGTTGGGGCGACCCGCGGTTGGGGGAATTGATGAAGCGAGCAGATTGGTGGAGTTTTTTGGCTGAGGAAAGTGATTTTCTCATAAACAATGCGAAAAGAAATTTGAGGAAAATGTTCAAATTTTTTGCTTTGTTTTCATTTGCAGTGGGGAAGCTGCGCCGAAGGTGCTACTGAATTGAATGATTTAGGGGGTGTATTCTATTTTTAAAGACTGTAGGATATAAGAAATCTGGGTGTATTTAAATAGGACTTTTTAAGATTTTAAAAAATCTTAAAAAATATTGAGGTGTTCGATTAGGATTTTAAATGACTTTTTAAAAGTCTCTATAAATCCATAGGTATTCAATTTGAACTTTTTAAAGTCCCATAAAATCAAGAGATATTCATTTCTTTTTCAATTCTTTTGGATTTGTCATTTGTTTGGATTTAGAGAGATTTTAGTGGAAAAATATATATATCAAATCCCATTACAAATCCCACCAGTAAATGAGAGATTGAACGATTTCTCTTACAAGAGAACGATTGATCTTCACTTTGCTCTTGATTCTTCTAAAAGGTACCAACATCTGTTCTTGTGATTATTTACAAGCATCTCTTTAGTCCAGTAGATCATCTCGACATATTGCCTATGGAAGACGTTCTATAAAAGTTTCCTGCGGTAAAGTCCTTACAGTCGCATCGATAACAAATAAAAGTTGAATTACGGGCATCTGCTTGATTCATAAATGCCATAGATGACTTTCTCCTTTATTTTGCATCTCTATGGCTGGCATGAACTATATATTGCCTTTTTTTTTTTTTNCCTTTTTTTTTTTTTGCTTTATGTTTAATGAATTGTTCTTTGATTACCAATTTTCTCTTACAGCAAAGAATTGTCGAAATTGTTTTTTTGATTCCCATTTACTGTTCTATTACAACAAAGGATTACCAATTCAAGTGATTAGTCATTAGTTTGTGAATACAATTATTAATGCAAATATTCTGAGTTATATTCATGTGATTTGTTCACTGATAAATCTCTTGAGTTGATATAGGATGCTACATCATGTTTTAATTTTCCACACAATTTATTGAATCTCTTTAAAGATCACAATATCGCCAAATAAGTGTTTCAAATATAAATGTTATTAATGTTGTCAGTCAAAATTATAATTATTTCTTGAGATTATGTGATTGATTTAACAAACTAAAAAATTATAAGTTAGACAAAAAAATATAGTTATTATTGTATCTCTTTGAGATTATGTGGTTTATTGAATAGAATAAAAAATTATAACAAATTCGACTGTTTTTGTACAAAACGATAAATAAACAAACAATAAAATAGAAAATTCAAATTTCTCCATTTCAAAATAATTTTTATTTTCTTTCATGTATAAATATTGTCATAAGTTATCACAATGAAATATTTATATATTAATGTTGATGTTTATTCAATCAATAATAAAAGTCTACAAAATTCTTGAAAAGTCTTAAGAAATCTATAGAAGTCCTAAACAATACCACATGTCACTTCTGGGAATTTCTAATAAATTCTACAAAATCCATGAAAACTGATAAAATCCCATAAAATCCTATTCTTAATAAAATCCTAAAAAGTTTGTTAGAATCTTAAATGAATACACCCTTATTAATTTCGTATTTTTATGTGTTTTTGCTTTTTAGTGATAAAGGGACTGGATGATGATCTTTTTAGAGAAAATTGCAAATTTGGTTATGTATAATTGGACATGTTGCAAAATTAATCTCATAAATTGTAAAGTTAAAGTTTTGTTGCAGATTTGGTCTCAATCCCCTCGAAACTAGTGGGATGATTATGTGTGTGTTTAGTCATTAGTTTGAAAAAAAAAAAATTGCAAATTTAGTCCAATAAGATAAATTTGGTCTCAAATGTTGTAAATATGGTTCTTCACCCTTTTTTTTATTGAAAATGTTATATAAAGTTTAAATTGTGAAATTACAGAAAAAATACTTAAAATTAGTATACAACTCGTGCGGTGCATATAACTGATAATAAATTACATTATATTCGTTTCAAAATAAGTATCATTTCAAAAACTTTATTCAGAAAATCGATTTGGCTATATGTGATTCCAACAAATGGTTATTTTGGTAAAATGTTATCATATATTTAGCAACCTACGTGAATAATAAGTATAAATATAAAATTTATATTGTTTCATCACTTAAGATAATTTATTATTGTAGAAACTATTCAAATAAAAAAAATTAAGTAGTTGAGTAATTTATTAAATTATAAATAATTGACTATTTCGTTTACGTCTAAGTTAATATTGGCCCGTATGTTATGAAAAATTATATTTTATTTTTAAACTAAATAAAAATCTTTTTAATATTTTTTTTCAATATATTATATACCAAATTTAAACCATGCAACTAATAAAGGTAATAGTTGCAAGTTTTGTCAATATACTATATTCCAAATTTAAATCATGCAACTAATAAAGGTAATAGCCGCAATATTTGACCAAAATGATTCTGTACCTTAATTTAGGCGGGATTTTTTAAATTTTGGCAAACATTATTACTCAATATAGTAAATATTTTAGGCGGGAAATCAATTATTTTTTTGCTGATTTTTAGTTGTTATTTCAAGAAAATATCATTGCCTCTTTATATATTAATAGATTTGATAGTAAAATTTAGTTTTGAGGCAACAAAAAAAAAATACATATAAAAAAATATTTAGTTACTATGCAATGTTTTCTATATTTCAAATTATTGTTTTTAATTAAGTAATACGAGACTATGGATAACATAAGCGAGAAGAAACAGAATGTTTCGGCTACCCTAAAACCGGCTACTTTACTGTTACAGACAGGGGGAATTCCTAGCCCATGATCCAAGAGAGAGGTTTTAAAGAATCTCGACCACACAAACGAAGCGAAGTGAAGTGACCGCTTACGGGTGATTATCTTTGGGTATTATCTCTTCGCGTTGTTGAGGTCCCTGTTTATTTCGAGGATCTGAAACCTTTCAACACTGAGTGAGTTTGGAGCGGTTCGCTCAGGTAATGGAAAGAGTGAGCGTGGAGAAGGTAGCTATAGGGCTCAAAAGCTCCTGGAAAGAGACATGCCAAACGACCTGTTCACAAGAAAGATCACTCCATGGGGTTGACTAGGGACTGATGGTGAGTTAACCCATTCTCCTTCTTATCATTCGCCGAGTAGGTCCGAAGTCGTTTTGGAGTTCGTTCATGTACAATAAACTTCAAACAAAAGTCGATTCGGGATGTAAGAGGCAGTAGCTCACATAGCTCATTAGATCTATCCAACTTCAAAGTCTAACTACGAGTGACTACGTACCTCTTTCTATCCTCAACTTTTTGTCGAACCTTATTTTATCCCTAAAAGCTATCTTTCCACGTCTACCATTGTATGACGTTTTGTAGCCTATTGAAATGAAAGGGTATAGCGGTAGAGGTTAATAAATTTTCAAACAAAAATAAAATAAAATAAAAATAATATCGACTACTATTGTTTTGAAAACCGTACCATAGTGCTGTTGGATCGAGAATCAGTCAATTAAACAGTTCGATTCTTTTGAACGAACATGTTTCCAATGAACCGTTTAGAATTTGTTGATCGAACAGGTCAATTATATATATATTTTTATTTTTTAAAATAATTTAATATATATATATATATTTGTTTATTTAAATATATTTGATACATATAAGTTCAAATTTGTATTTCTATTATATTAAAAAAAATGGTAGTGTACATTGTTGAAAGAATTTTATTATTTTTTTTTGGTGGGCTTTTTTAGCATTTTTTATACTTTTTTTTTTTATTTTTATATTTATTGTGTTTGCTACTATTAACTGTTTTTGGTGTATTATTTACATTGTTTTTAAAATTATGTAATTTAAATAAAAATAATCATATTCGACTAAAAGTTTATTTGTGTAATGATTAACAATACATCATAATTGAAGTCCACATTGTAGTAGATTAGTGCTAGTGCGCATACAAAGTATTTAATAATCAATTATTTTGAATTTCCATTTACAGAAATATAAGAACATCAAGCTAACTATCCAATTGAAATTAATACTACAAGAAAATGATGAAATTCCAATGAAAAATTCTAACAGAGGTGTATTTCAATGAAATTTCAGTGGATATTCTAATACTATTATTGTTGTGGAAATTTTTCGATAGATTCTAACGAAAATATTCGGTTGAAATGAATTTTCAGTTGAAATTCATGATGGCATTTGACGATCTCAATGGTATAATTTTCAATGATTGTAATATGGATGAGAATAGAAATTGCAACGAAAATTACTAGGTAATACATCATTGAAAAAATAATTGTTGAAATTATCAAATTCTATCTAAAATTTCAATGGAAAACTCATTCCAACGGACTATTTTTATTGAATTTTTGTTGGAATCTCCAAGGGAAATAATACCAGTAAAATATTCATTAGAATTCTCATTGGAATATCTTACAGTTGAGTTTATCGTTGAAATATAACAATATTTTATAGTGTGAATTTCCCACCATCCCCACTATATATAATTACAGAAGACTTTAAGCCTAAGTGACAGATTCTCACGTTTCGGAACCTTATGTGGTAAAAATCATGCTTCGAAGTCAGGCTTGGACATAAATTAATATTTTCATATTAAATCCATATTAATATCTTCCTTCTTTCTATAATTAGTAACCACAAATATTTTAGGTTTCTATTTCCAACATTATCAGATATTACATCTCATTTTCTCATTTACTTCATACATTCTATTATAAAATGTTTCTTATTTATTTTTAAACTTTTATAACTTTTTTTGGTTGTATTTATTTTTCATATATGATATATCAATTTATTTATCTTTTAACGATCATCGATTTGACATCCATATTATATAATACAAAAAAATGATACATATATCCTTAAAAGTAAAACTCAAAATTTATTTATCAAACTAAATTAAAAAATATCAAATAAAATTATAAATTATATTATAAAGTAATAAAAATTTAAGTCTATCAACATACCATTAATAATTATTTTACTTGGAAAAAAATATGTAAACTAAGTATGAACATCAAATTAATATAAAAAAATATTCTAAAAGTTACATCTCAACTGAATTAAAGAATGCATAGAGAATGAACATTATAATCAGAATAATAAAAATAATTAATATATTTCATAAAGTTTAATCTCATACACATTATATTTGAAATTATTGAATATTGTAAAGTTGAAGTTATTTTAAAGGTTTTAAAGAATTATCATTTTGACAAATCGAATATAAAAATGGGTATTATTTTAAATAATTAAATTGAATACTTTTTTATTTAGTAATTATATATTTAATTTTTTATCATTCTAAATATTAATTTATTCACTTATTTATTTTGATAAAATACTTAATTTTTAAGCACACGTGTTGTTCACGAGCGTTATATTAATTGTCGAATAAATTAATTATTTTATTAATTTTGATAAAAATGAATATATATGAAATAGATCAAATAATACTTCACTAAAATATTTTTACGATTCAAAATAACATTAAAAAAATATCCTTTAATAATTTTTTACTTCACAATAAGTATTCCAATTCTTTTTCAATTTTTGTGGGACAATTAGTTTTTTATGAAACACTCGTATAGTTCACGGGCGTTGTACTTGTAAACTAATAAACATGATGTTGAAAGGTATTTGTTACTTAATAATAAAGAAATATACATTCAGTTGAATATAATAATGCACATCTGTGGAAATTTAAATATGTTAGTGAAATTTTCTGTTTAATTTTGTATGATTTGATTGAATGAATGACACATTTAGATAACCTCATTTTTTCATTACGTATCTGCAAATAATACTATAGTGGCAGCTTTCCTTAATATCATGGTTAGTATATCATGTAGACAATACGATAAACTTATTTATGTATGAAATGAACTTACTTCATTTGATTGGCTATCATTTTTCATTACGCTAAGTATATGCAAATCCTAGTCACTAGTGGCAGCTTTCCTTAATACCATGGTTAGCATATCACGTGGACAACATTGTAAATTAACTTACCTAGTCACTAGTGGCAGCTTTCCTTAATACCATGGTTAGCATATCACGTGGACAACATTGTAAATTAACTTATTTATATATGAACTTACTCAGAAATTCTATGGAGTTATTGGATAGCGAGCTATTCATAACTTGATATACTGACAATGTCCAATATACTTGTGAATAAACAAATTTTTTTTCCCCAAAAGCCCCAAATAAAAAAAAAACCCTCGTCCATCTTCTTCTTCTTGCGCCGCGTTGACCTCTCTCAGCAGCCATCCGGGGTCGTCGGTGAACGGACTTTGCCGCTCACCCATGGGTTGGCTTCGAAACTCTCGATTTGGGTCTTAAGCCATCGGGTCCGGCTAGGGTTCGGCAGATCCCTTTTCTGCGAATGGACCGCCGGTGTTTCGATTGGCTGGGGCTTGGCGGAGAGTGGAGCCAGTGAGTGGGTGAGGCTTCTGTCACCTTTGTCGGCTTGGTTGGGGTGACTCTACTCGTCGGAATCGGAGGATTGGTCGGTCTGCAATGCGTTGTTTCGCCGGCGGAATCATGATTGTCGGAGACGAGCTTCTTGGTTGAATATTGGTCTGCAAGTGGAGTGTCGATTGCTCGCCGGTCTCAATTGGGGGTGAGTTTCCTAGTATTGTTGCTCTTGTCTCGGTTTTTCTTTTGACTGCGACTGGCGGGATTCCTCTTTCCTTCTGGCCTGTTGGGGTGTGCTCGTTCGATCGGGCCATGGCGGGGCGGCTGAGCATAGAAATGTCGGTCTTTTTTCCCTTCTCCCCTTCCTCTACTTCTGAGACTGGGGGAGGCCGATCATTTCTGGAGTTGTCTAGTGGTGTTAGGCGGCTTCTGGACGACGCAGGATTCGACTACTGGTGTTAGCCGGGTGGGGGGAGATTGTCGTTTCTAGTGGTTGGAGTACGGGTCGGTTCTTTGGTTTGTTCTTGCGGTGTGGGTCTTCGTCTTTGCTAGGCATTAGGCAGTAACGGGCGTGGTTCCTGTACTTCGGATCTCTCCTCGGAGTCTGCTTGTTTGCTGGACTATCTCGGAAGTCTCTGCTGAGGGAGGGTTGTGTTTTAGTTGTAGTTTTTTTAGTGTGTTTTTTGTTGGTTGTTTAGTTTGTGTTGTCTTGTTTGTGTCTGTGTTGTAATTGTTTTTTAGGTTTGGGCCATTAGCCTCAGTTAGCCCAAGTGTGACTTTATTATCCTGTTGGATCGTATACTCGGGCATTACCCTGTTGGGGTCTTTTCAGTTTTCTAGTGTTTTTTGTGTGTTAGTGTTTTTGATTACCCTGTTAGGGTCTTTTTTAGTTGTTTTAGTTGTTTGTGTAATTGATTAGTTTAGTTGTGAGTTTTTATTCTAGCGTTGCTAGTCGGGATTCTAGGCGGTCTTCTGACCTGTCCTCCCACTTTTCAGTTGTTGGCTGTTCTCATTCACTCAGGAGCTGCTTGTATTCGCACATTTGTGCACTTTTGATTTATTGTGGATTGTTCCATAACCCGTGTCATCTGATGGTTCTATATTAAACCCGTGAACTTACTTCTATTGGCTGAAAACATTAATGTGGACAAATTAAGTCAATAAAGGATATTCTAGCATAGACGATAAATATGATCTAAATGGAATATATGTAGACTAAGTGATTGGAAAAATTAAAACCTCAAATGTGAATTTATACCGTCCCATGACAATTTTGTTTAAGTGAAAACAATAGTTTGAGCTAAATATTGATATAGGAATTTTATGAGGCTAGAAATTGGAATATCAAAATGGGCTAAATAGCCAAAGTTGTTATCTCAATTTTATCATCATCCATTTTTTTTTCCTTATCTAAACAACTGAATCATCCATATATGAAGTTCTAATAAGTATACTTACACTACAATAAAATGATAAAATTTCAATGCAAAATTCTAATAGAAATATATTACAATGAAATTCCAACGGCAATTCCAATAGATATTTCATTGTCATTATTTCCGTTGAAATTTTTCAATGGATTCCAACGAAAATTCGAACAAAATTGGAGTGAGTTTTCAATTGGAATTAATTCTGTTGGATTATGACGATTTCAACGGTAGATTTTTCAACGGGGAAATAAAGATTCCAACAGAAATTCCTACGGTAAAAACCCATTGAAAAATAGCCGTTGGAATCATCAAATTCTAATGAAAAACTCATTCCAACAGAATATTTTCGTTGGAATCATTAACGGAAGCTATACTATTGGAATATCCGTTGGAATTTCATTTGGAATATATTATCCTAGAATTTTTCGTTGGAATATAATATTTTTATGTAGTGTTATTTTTTTTTTAGACGAGCTCAAATATTAACGAGGCGAATTATGTTAAAGTTTATGTAAATATTTTAGAATAGTGTCCAATATTATAGCTATTAGAATAGTGTCCAAATTAGAATTCTGAACCTCTATTGCCAACCAAACAATTTGGGTTTGGATATATTGGAATTCGATTTGCCAGCATGATATTACCTTGAACTTATTTAGATATTAGATTCCTTTATTAATGTGAGCCTGACCCGTTTGGCAACAAAAAATTTCAGCTAACAAACAAAACTGAAAATTCAACCAACATTTCAAATCAAAGACTTGGCTACTTATCTTCCACACTCACAAACCAAATATGCACGTCGTTCACATTTTGTTGTGAAATAAAACTGTGTTATTTGGGACTATATGACTATACTTTTTCTGAAGAAATTCATATTCATGAAATGAATTTGTAAACATCCATCCAATCAATTGATTGGTATAATGATTTTAATTTTCAAGTGAAGATATTTACAAGCTTGTTAATTAAAGAGCAAGGCTCAAGTATGACTCAATTTGTTTATAGTATGATAACAATGCACTTCCAACTAAATAAAAACAATTTACATGGTGTAATTTTTTTGATTTTAAGAAGAGCAAGTTATTTGATCAATTTATTTGATATATTTTTGGAAATAAGAAGATGTTG